TACTTTATAGGACTTCTTACCGGTGTTGTGGTAGACTCAGGAGATGGCGTTACTCATATCTGTCCAGTTTATGAAGGCTTCTCTCTTCCACATCTTACAAGACGTCTAGACATTGCGGGTAGAGACATCACAAGATACCTTATAAAAGTAAGTGCACTCATCCTAGTAGGGGGTGATTAGTTGGGAAATACCTAGGGATTTATTAGAAATTGCATGTACATGTAAAAAACCTACCAGTAACTGCAGTCACATAATTTTTCAGTTGCTCTTGTCTGTAAGTAATGCTGATGCTGATTGATTCCTCTAAGAAGTACTGAATCAAAATGATGTAGAACTAGTGTCATATATATATCCAAATTCCATCCCAAATGTTAATAATTTTGTAAATGTTTTATTATCAACAAAGAATCAATCTTCTTTACGGCAAATGGCCAGTATTGTATAGATTTATTAAAGTTACAAGGGGCAGACATGGTGTTGCTGTATCTGTGTAGGTGTACATATAATTGAGTTCAGTTTATCCGAGATGTAAACTTGTTACAATAAACGCCTTTTTAATAAATGTCCTGATATAATGAGCATTACTTTTACTAATAACAAACCCAATGTATAACTATGTGGTTCGTAAACTATCAAACAATTGGTATTCCTCCTAATGAGTTTGTTGTAACAAGGTTACTGTATATAATAATTGACTATTTAGCAAAAATTAGTGAGCCATTTATCTGAATTTTCGGCATGTATCTTTATGGTGTTGTGGATGAGATTTTGTTCATGGGAAATATCATCCCAAAATTATGCAAATCATAACTAAAACTGTCAATTGTTTTTCGAAATGGCTTACTCTTTTTTAACCAATTTCCTTTATTTGTGATACGTACCATGGTTTATTTTATCTTAACTTTATTTCATGGTGTGTTTATTTTATAGTTGCTGCTTTTACGTGGCTATGCTTTTAATCATTCTGCTGATTTTGAAACCGTACGAATGCTCAAAGAAGATCTCTGTTTTGTTGCGTAAGTAAACATATTTTTCTACTAGACTATTTAGAATAAGGTCATGTATAATATTGTGTTCACATATAGAAAAGGATTACCAATTACCAATAAGTGTTTTTATATTCTCAATAATTATTCTGTACATGCATAATTAATAATATCTGAGAGATGGATTGTTCCAATATTTTTGTTTGTTCGATTTTACAAACAGTTTTATCAGGAAATGCATGAAAATGCCTCTGTTTGAGTTCACAAATTTCTGACTTGTATCCTGCAGATATAATGTTGAACAAGAACAAAAACTTGCCTTAGAAACAACAGTTTTGGTTGAATCATACACAGTAAGTAGTCTTTTAGTGATCTACGAATTTCAGAATAATGTTAACGCAAGCAACTGTTTCATCATGTTAGCATAATCATGACTTGTTACCGCCAATAATGTACAGTGGCCTTGTAATAAAGGTTTTTGTCTTTGGTCATGATTCAAGAAGTACATGCAAGCTACATGACCTCAGGTTTCTACTAGATTTCAAATCTTGAGATGCCCAACTATGGATTGGTCCTCTGTCGTGATTGACAGGCATTTTTTCCCGTGTTTGTCCAACACATATCTAAAACTTTGTCCATGGGTGAGGTGTCGGTGAAATTACTTTAGTACCAAGAGTGTCTGTAATGATGAAACTGTCATCTGATATATAGATGAAGAGAATACTGCAATCCTCTAAGAAGTGCTGAACAGACAATTTTATACCATATTTGCTATAGTGATGACACTGTTAATATTCTATTACTTAACTGTGGTTTGTGCTACAATAAAATTGTCAACTGGTTAAATTGAATCAAAGAAGTGTTGTAGTCCTTAATTAAAATGATTTAGCTTCTGATGGAGCAAATATGCACTTCTATTGGAGATGCACTTCTGATGGAGCAAATATGCACTTCTATGGAGATGCGCTTCTGATGGAGCAAATATGCACTTCTATTGGAGATGCACTTCTGATGGAGCAAATATGCACTTCTATTGGAGATGCGCTTCTGATGGAGCAAATATGCACTTCTGATGGAGCAAATATGCACTTCTGATGGAGCAAATATGCACTTCTGATGGAGCAAATATGCACTTCTATTGGAGATGCGCTTCTGATGAAGCAAATATGCACTTCTATTGGAGATGCACTTCTGATGGAGCAAATATGCACTTCTATTGGAGATGCGCTTCTGATGGAGCAAATATGAACTTCTATTGGAGATGCGCTTCTGATGGAGCAAATATGCACTTCTATTGGAGATGTGCTTCTATCGGAGGTGTGCTTCTGATAAAGCAAAGATGGTGTTTGATTTATATATGCTTCAACTGGAGATGTGCTTTTATGATGTATAATTAATTGATGTACAATTTTCAGCTTCCAGATGGAAGAGTTGTTAAAGTTGGTGGCGAAAGGTTTGAAGCCCCAGAAGCATTATTTCAACCTCATTTGATTAACGTTGATGGTGTTGGTGTTGCCGAGTTACTCTTCAATACTATACAGGCAGCTGATATAGATACCCGAGCAGACCTTTACAAACACATAGTACTGTCAGGAGGTTCTACTATGTATCCAGGATTACCATCAAGGCTTGAAAGGGAGGTAAAACAACTTTATTTAGAAAGAGTTCTCAAAGGAGTTACAGACAAACTATCGGTAAGTAAAGCTAAATTTTAAATTAAAGTGTGGTAAATACAATGCATGGATTGTCATAATAAGATTATTTATTTATCATGGTTCATAGAATTTAAATAGTGCTTTCCAAAATATCCCAAATTTCTAAAAAACACATTAGATCGATGCTTAATGTGAAAATGGAATTATAGCCATTGCAAGGTTTGTCAACTGTCTGAAGATTGTTTATGTGGCTTGTACTTGTACATTTAGATGGAAGACATTCGCATAGCTATACTGACCATCCGAGATATTCTTAGCTCCGCTGTCGATTTTGTAAGGTAGAGCTTATCATACAAGTAATTGTCCTTCATCTACATCAACTTTTTCAACTTTTTTGAAAACTACAAGACTGATTGCTCTTGATACTTGGTATACATGTACCTTGGGTAGACCTCTCTTTGATTTGTTCATTTCGTCATACCTTCAATTCTCTAATTTTGATGAATGTTTGTAAAAAGTGATATTTTTTACTTCTTTGATACTATACATATAGGTACCTGAGGTAGACCTCTCTCAGATTTGTTCATATTCTAATGATATCTTCAGTTCTCTAATTGAAATGTGCATTGCTAACAGTGGAGCTATCTAACCCGAGAGGTTGCTTGTTAAAATTACTCAACAAACTA